AGACTTGAGCTATTTACAGTCCTGACCTTAAGTATTTGGACAATTACACATGTTTGTGCTTCAGCACATTCAGTTTGAAATAATGGATATCACATTAAAGTGCCAAATATGAGCCTTAATGTCAGTAGGTTCATATCAGTATAGAAAAATATAACTGTTGGAAATATAGCCCCACTAAACATACCGCCAAAGCAACCAAAGAGCTTTCAGGGTGAAGAAGTGAAATATCCTTGACTCAACAAATCAGTCACCTGATCTAAATCCGGCCCGGCTGTACGCCATCTCCTGAAGACCCAACTAAAGGATGAGAGAGCCCACAACAAGCAGAGCTGAAGGTAGCTGCAGTGAAGCTCTGGGACATGGTCACCAGGAAAGACACAAAGCATCTGCTCTGGTCTGTGGGTCAAAGAGTTCAGGCAGTTACTGCACTTTGAGTTAAAAGAACTAAATTTGCCACAAAGTCGTTCTGCATTGATTCTTCTCAAACAGATAAACTGAACGTCCACAGAGGCTCAAGGACAACAGTGTGTCACTACATATTTACAGTCTGGACTGTGTATTGATACATTTAAAGTAGCTTCTGTAGTTGAACACATTGTGGTCAGGATGATGGTAATGATGGTTTAACTTTCAGTTAAATATAAACTCCCACTCATCATTAAGATCAATCATCCTTTATTTCCATATATACAATATTAACAGGATATGAACTTTAAGCATAAGACAACTGTACGTCTAGGGCCAGCATATCTCTTCTCCTGCTTTTAGTGTTGGTAAGAATGTCTGGTCAGACAGGGGTCACTGCTGCCAGCCTTGACTGAAATGCGATAGGGTTAAAGTTACGCAGCCATTAATCACCGGTGCGCCACACTGCCCTAATGGGCAGGGACACTGCTCGGGGCATCACTGAGAGTATCGTTTGTTAAGATGGTGTTTTCTGCCATGGGACAGATTCAATATGGATGTGAACTTTGTTTTTTGTCATTGGGGAAATGGAGAAACAATATGTCAGTCACTACTGCTTGAATGTGGCAAGAAAAGATTAAAGGAACAGTGAGAATGATTGGTGTTTTTGTGTGCGGCTGTGTGTTTATTTTTTCCTTATCCCTGTACTGCATTAGTATGAATAATGATTTCACCCAGTTCAGATTCCACTGGAGGTGTTCACCTGTATCTGACACTAGTAGTGTCGCGTAACTGCCATTAATGTCCAATTTTCAATGAAAACAGAAATAGAATGCAGACTGATAAGGGTAACACACCATCCTTTTTCACACCTGACTCCATAATTACCCCAATGGGCTGTGGTGAGGGATCATATCCTGGTGCGCATTGGGGGGTCAGTGGCGATAAGCTTCAGCCTGGCTCCCAACATGCAGCGTAATTACTTTATTGATAATTCACCAGGAAAATGGTCCTAACCAATTGCAGAGCTCCGTTTTAATAGATTGGATGGTGAAACGAGGAAGGAGGCTAGGAGGGGGGGCAGTGCACGTGTGGGGGGACGTATGTGGAAACAACCAGCAAGAACCTTTTATTAGAAATGAAAATATGTTTAGGCCATAGGGGGACCCATTTTCCCTGGAGATAATAAGGCCAATAAAATGTAAAGCAGGGGGAGGGCTTGGCATGGGGTCTGACTGTTGCTGTTTATCTGTGTGTGTCCTGCATTAGCCCATTTATCCCCAGCCTCAAATTGGCTAATCATTCTCTAAGGGGAAGGACTTGGTCAGGAAATTGACATTTAGTAGCATAGGCTCACTCTATTAACTACAGTAAATTTAATTTCCTGCACACCCCAGAAGTGGGCTGTTTTCTTTGCCATCAGAGGGAGAAAGGGGACAGGGAGGCCGAGAAACAGAGACTGCGTTTATTGCATCTGCTGCTTCTGGCCACAGTTTGCTTGGCTGTAAATATAAGACTTAGACTTGGAACACTGAGACTCTGTTGTATCTCCCCTCATGTACTCATTATTACAGACATATGCAGGCATTGTCAGCACACAGATTCACTCGTTCCAAGGTCTGCTTGGGCCACTGATGGATTATCTTGCTTAGAGACCCCAACATGCCAATCCCCGCCCCCCTCCTCTTTTTTTTCTCCATTAGCTGTGACTCCCTGACTAGTCTAATCATAGCTCCATTCACCCTCTGATTTAGGTTTGTAATAATTATATTTGATGATCACTCCAGAGTGAGTTTACTGTCAGTGACAGTCTTTACTGTGGGGAAACAGGTGCTAAGGAGGGGCCGCTGTAGTTGCTCAAATATAGTATTGTTGTAGATAGAGCTGAAATGGTTTGTCGATTATTAGAGAATAAAGATGGAGTTCCTTTGATAAGTGATTAATCATTTAAGCCATTTTAAAAATGTTTTGCAAGATGCCACCGTGGGCTCTGCCAAGCTACAACTTTTCTTCATTGTTTTCTCATTAGCTGCAGCTCTAATTGTAAAGCATCATTAGAGTCATTTGAAATGTTTGCTAGTATTAGCGCTTACTGTGTCTTAGTTAGTTGAAATGGTTGCTGGATTATTGAAATGTTTGGCCAGGACAGCACTGGAAATCAAAGAGGGGCCTCAGATCTCCCACCACGTCATAAATACACGAATATAAAAGGAAGGAGCCTTCTCAGCGTCATGGGCCCAGCTTAACAAAACACCAGTTAGTGAGAGGGTGCCCACCTGATGACCTTGTAGACTTGCCTTCACTCCTACACCCACACAGAGTTTATATTGGCATTGCTGATAATGTGTAGTTTTAATTCAGAGGGGTTGTTACTGGTGTAGGTTTCTGTAGCCTGACAGTTTTGGTAGAGCAGTGACAGTAGCTGGACAGTTGAGCAGACCCTTTCAGATGTGAAGGCCAGCTGGCCCAGCCTCTGGGTGAAAATGAAAGTCACTTTCGGCTTTTCCCGTTTAGGGGTCGCCACAGCGAACCAAGCAAATACAATGCAGATATGCTCTTTGCTTGGGTGAGGAAAGGATCCAGGGTTGCTTTGTAGTCAGGTCAGAGTGAGGGCCTTTTTCATATGTTCATGGTATGTTAGGTCAAGATTGGAGAATAGTGTACAAAATCATGCCATTTAGGTTTGATAAAAATGGTGTTACTCATTGTGGGACCCTGAAGATTCATGACAGCATGGCCTGATATCCTCTCTTTGCCGCCAAATAAAGTGGAAATCTCACTTAAGATGAATACTGTACCTCCATGAGAATGCTCATCCAGTCTTTGCACATTTAATTGTGTTATCATCTATTACATGAACATTGAATCAAACTTATGATAGCATCACAGTATGTACTGAAGCTATGGTAGTATTTCAAAGATATTGGTCATCACCTGACCTTTGCTTATATAATAGGTTTTCTTTTACTGTGGAGTGTTTCTGGAAAAACTGTGTGCATGTGTTATTTTTCAAAGAGGGATTCTCTTTGGCAGAGACCTTGAAATAGTGCAGTTAAACTCTCCAGTGATCAGGATCGCTCCAGCCTAATTGATTGCAACAGTTGTCAGAGTGGTGTCTGTTAGGATGGTGATAGGCGTCTGAAGAAAATGATTAGTTTTCTGTTGGGAGAGAGACAGCTCTGGATGTCCCAAACTGCAAACTAATAAAGGAGGGAAAGCAATAAAGCTCGTGGACAGCAGGTTTGACTGTTTTTATAGACAAATCAATAAAATGATAGATGATGGAAAATAACGGCTTCTCTACCAATTTCTATGGGGGTTTCAAATCACCCCACCTCCCCACTCCACGTGTGCATGTACACACACCGAGACAGGATGCAGGCTCTCACACACCACACACACTTGCGCAGAGTGTGTTGAAGGCTTTTGTCTGCATTAATAGAGACGTGTGCAGTGACACATAAATAAGTGTTTGTATTTTGGTAATTTGTTTCTTTGCTTTTATGGCACCATATTGAGATATGAGTTACACTTCCAATTCTCTTTTTGTTGCAGCTTAATACACTTCCAATTCTCTTTTTGTTGCAGTTTAAATGACATCTCTCTGTGTGTGTGTGTTTGTGTATCATAACTAACAGAGTAAATCTCCAACTGTAAATCTTTTTGAGACCAGAGGGCCAGTGTCAGGATCAATACTGAGGACAGGCCTTCCTCTGCATCCGCCTCTAATTGGCTCCATTTCTACAGTGTCCATCTGTGTCGGTGTGGTTGCATTTGTGTGTTTCACAATGTAAGCAGTTATGTAGCTGTGTTATTATTGCCATTCAATTAAGGATGAATTTGTGAATTTCACAAGAAATTTCATTTTAGTGAGTTTTATTTAGACTTTTTTTTTTTTTTGTACTGGTGGGGACGTTGTTTCTATGTTTCTATATGCAAAGTGACTGTCTCGCATCCGGTTGGGTGTCGTTGATGGTAGATTTTAATAATAGATTCATACATATTGTGGGGAATTTTTTTTTTTTTT